ACATGGGTTGAAATTAAATTTTCTTGTTGCGATAACCCATTTAAACATTATGTCCAGCTTTTTCTTCAAGTTCCGACTTAATCCCGCACTGCTTATACTTTTTCGCTGTTGGTACCGCCTGTGACAGAACATTTTAGAGCGAATAGTTAGGCAATTATAATTCGAGAAGTAATTTGGAATTAAAATCAAACAAATCACGGAGTATATATAGGATACATCTAATTTTTCAGCCCACCATTCAGCGGGAGCATCAATTGTCCTTTTAATCAGATCCCAACCCAAACCTGTAGATCCACGTTTCAACTCCTTCCATATTTTCAATTCCTTCTTTAATTGATCCCATTTGTTTTTAAATTTCAGCTTATCATAATCCCTGCCAGTCAATTCTTTGACTCTCTTTTCAATGTTTCGCCACCCTTCCTTATTAAAAAACGTTGTTGGCATGTTTTCAAGTTCTATTTCTTTTATACAAAGATCGCAGAAAATATTTGTTACTTCCTTATCCCACATTGCGGAGGTCCCCCCTTCAACTGATTTAGACATGATGAAGCTATAGAGAACAAATGAGAATTAAAAAGAGATTATATTTGAAGTAATAATACGTCCAGCACATGAACATCTCAAGCCCACAACAACATCAACCCAACAAGAACACCACTCTCCAAACATAAACATTTGCCACCAACACAAACAAGAGCATAACAACTTGATCAATAACAAAAAAAGAAATATATGAAGAAACAAATAATTTATGTGGTTCGGTCATTGACCTACATCCAAAGTAAGGCTTCGAAAATATTTTATTATGCAATTCCAAAAGATTACAAGACCAAATCTAAATACATTTATGTCATTTCCTTGCCCCTTGAACCGAGATTACCAAAGAAATACCAAAGCCAACTCTAAATACACCATAACCAAAAGCACCGTTGGCATTCGGAATGTATTGCATTAATGGAACTATCAGCCGAAATGTACTGATTCCCTTATCAGTTCAACCAAGAATTCCAAAAAATACCAAAGCCCAATTTCCTAATCCTAAATTCCAGAACAGCTCAAACCGAAATGTATTGCAATGACTCGGAGTGCAACATCAATAATCCTACACGCACCAGCCGAAATGCAATGAACCGAATTGTATTGCAATAACATGTATTGAAATGTATTGCAATAAAGCCATTCCCCCAACTGTAAAGAATAAAGTCATTTCCCCAACTGTAAAGATTAAAGCCATGATTTGATGGAACTAGCAACCAATAATTCCAGAAAATTAGCCACATCAAAATAACTAATTGCAATGAAATAGGGAGAACCAAGCTTAATTTCTTATTTCCAATTTTTAGATTTGTAAATTAGCTCATGATTCCTCAAGATCTGTAAATTAGCCCAATTACCTATTTTCAATTTTCAGAACAACTCAAACCGAAATATATTACAAGGCATAAAAACTGTAAATATAGAACCAAACGAAGTGTGGCATATAGAATCGAAACATGTAAATGCACTGTAAATATAGAACCAGAGAAGTGCGTCATATAAATCCCAAAAAAGGAGTGAGGCATATAGAAGATCTATTTCCAGAGCAGTGCGCCATCTAAATGCACTGTAAATATGTGATCCATTTTCAGAGCAAGATCTAAAAATTCCTAAATGTAAGAGCTAAAAATCCCAAAAAAGCAAAACGTATGGGCATAAAAATCAGAGAAGATCTATGGAGAACATTTCTAGAGCTTATAGAAGAACCTAAAAAGCTTCGTAGTTGTTTTCTAGGCCTAAAAAGAAACCAAAGGAACACAAAAAAAAAAAAAAAAAAAAATCCAACCCCCAAAAAGAAACAAACCGCATAAACGAACCAGAGAAGATCAAAGGAGTGTCATTTCTATAGTTTACGCAAGATCTCACCAGAAGTTTACGCACGAGAGATAATCCACAGGGGCACAAGAGGAAAATAAGCCCTAGCCAACGCCGAACGGAACCCCTCCCCGCGTTCGATGGATAGAAGTAATATTGAATACGCGGTTAAGGACGATATAAAAACACAGCAATAAACGCCGAAACAAACGCTGCGGTGACGTTTTCAAAATGCCGCCGCAGCAAAATAAGCTGCCCCAAATGGGGTCTTAAATTCAACAAAAAAATAATTACAGATTTTTAAATCTTTAATGTATTTACACATCTAAGACTTAAGGTCTGTCTCGTGATAAGTAGTTGATCCGGATAATTTGTCTGTCTGTTTGATTTGTGAGTTTTGAGAACAGCTAATTCTAAATAAATGACAAAAATGCCCCTGTACTGGATAAACCTTACTGCACATCGTTGTGTCCACCGAAAAGTATAAACTGGAGCAGAGGAGCGGCAGAGGAGCAAGGAGAAGAAAAAATAAAGGTTACCTGTGAGAAATGAGAAAGATTGTTGGAGACGGAGAGATACGAGGATCGATTGCCAGAGGGAGACGCGGATCGCTGTGCGGAGTCGGCCACGATGTCTCCGCTTGCTGCGAACTTTAAGGCAGAAGAAGGAAGCCGCGGAGAGGACCTCGATGTCGCGCTGATGTCGCTTGTTGCAAGCTACGCTAGGGCAGACGAGCGGGAGGAGAGGATGTCGCGGATCGCAACGGCAGACGAAAGGGAGGGGAGAATTTCGTGGATCGCGGAGAGGAACCTAGGCAGAGGAAGGAGGGCATATAGTGTCTTTCGACACTATTAAACGCGGATCGTGTGGTTGACCTCGCGATCCGCATCTAATACGAAAATGAAAAATGAGTTTTCTAATGAGCCCTGCAAACACGATTTTCAAACAGACAGTGACGTTTTGAAATCGCCACCGTTGCAAATAAACTGTCCCAAACACAGCCTTAATTTCAAATGATACACTTTTCAATTAATTTTCGTATTTAACATTTAAATGCAAAACATGAACTTATACTTGAATGTTTATAGATATAACACCTAAATTACAAAATTTATTTGCAAATATATCACATCCTTATATCTATACGTTGCTAACATTTGAATCTTGATTTCTATAAGTTTTTACCATCTAAAGATTAACTTTTCCTGTATATATAAATATAACACATGTATAATACTAATAAAAATAACAATAATAATAGTATACACATGAGGTCTTGGATGATAAATGTGATCATGATATATAAATATTAAATACAAACATTAAAGTGGTGTGTATAATTTTAAGCAATTTATTTATTACTTCAATTGTTAAACTTGACTGCACAAGAATATAAACATGTACCTAGTACATTGTTATACGAGATTTTACAATTTTATGTTGAATAATATTCTCATACAAATTTCATTGTGGGCCTTTGCGAGGTAAACCCGACTGTGGTTAAGATGTTGAAGGATCGTGAAGCAACTCCGAGAAGAACAAAATAGGCGACATCAAACTTCATTCAGTGAGATTTTTTCAAAATCTACACTCTTAATTTCAACACTTCTTCAAAATTCTATAATACACATTAATATGATTACAAAATAATGCCTTAAACTTCATTTAACATATAATAATAACAAGAGCTTAGAATAGGTTAGTTAAGTGTTCTCTCTTCTTTATCCCCTCTTCTCGAGACGAGACGATGAAACCATCAAATGACGATTCATCACCAGGCAACGATCGAGACGACAATATGAAGCAAATGACAATTCATCTTTAGATGACGGTCAAAGTGACAATAGAAGATGACATGAGGAACTTCAACCGAACTTTGATAGATTTAAATAACATATCTATAGGACGCTGAGGTCGTTCGTTTGACACGATATAAATCCTCATATACTATATTTTAGGACTTTCTACAGTTTTATATCGTACAATATAATTCCTACACTTTTTAGGATTCTGAGGTCGTCGCCTTGTACGACATAATTCTTCTTATTTCCTCGGGTCATTTACATATGAAATGTAGACACAAGTTCCGAATATTTAAATAATTTGCAAGACTAAAACATAAAAAAATTTCTCTTTAAAAAATGTAAAACCAAACCATATGTTTGTTTGAGATGTCACTGAATATTCTTCAGTATCTTCAACATCTCTTACTTTGCACTTCTTTGGATTCCGGAAATAACTGCTCCTACTTGAACCTATCCCACTTGACTTTTCCTATAAGCAATTGTGAAAACCTAAATGTTGAATTCTTGAAGACAAAACTCTGAGCTTAATCGAAAGTTTTCATAGGTGACTTTGGTTGCCTAAAATGTAATTAACTATAGGGCTTGTCTCTTTAGGGGATTAAGAACCCAGGTTAATCTAAACACTTTCTAATATCTGTATTAGATATGAGAATTTGTCGGCTATAAAATTTGCAGACCAAAATAAAGTAAAAAACTTTTAAGTTTAGATAGTTAAGCCTACCAATAAGTGATACGTTCATTTTTCGAGATAATATATCATTTATGGTATTGTGCTAAGCTATTTAAGCTATTAGATATATAAGGTCTATTCGGCCTCATTATTTTCCAAAAATAATAAAAAAAATATCATTTTCACAAAATTAAAATTACATTATATATTATATTAAATTTAAATTTTAATATCTTATTTTGAAAAAAATAGTCGAAAGAGGGGATCCTTTCCAAATCCTATTTCTATTTCTCTTTATCTATGAAATCTTGTAAATCAAGGAACCTCTTAACTTGCACTCTTCCGACTTCAGAGATAAGAATTTAATACATCTCTTAATGTTCTCTCTGAAAACTCTCATTCATCTCTCTCTCTCTCTCTCTCTCTCTCTCTCCTTTTCTATGTTACAATATTTTTTATCGGGTTATGTAAAAGGATTCAACATTATGCACATAGATCTTCATAATATTCATCATTTATTATATGATCTTAACCGCCTTGTTACCGAATAAAACCGTTGAAGCTTGGTTAGTTGAACTTGAAGATCAATTCCAAGTTTCACAACTTTGAGATATAGTAGGAAAATCTTTTTTAAAATTATTATTTTAACCGTCATCAACTTTGCTTCAGGACTCATAGTTTTATCTTAAAAAAAAGAAAGGTACACAGTAACTAGTTAATATTTATTATTTGTGCATGCATGCATATATAATTATATTAATAAAAAGTTCATAGTATTCAGATTTGTGTGGGTGTAGAAGCCACTGCCCGAAGCGGAGAAGCCAAGACGAGGGTGAGTCCAAACTTCTCCGTAAGATCCAAATCGCTAGGCTTCATTCCGTCTGGCAAACTCCATTCAAAGTTTTGAATAAGCGAGGCCAGGACGAGCTGCACCATCCGAACACCCAACGGCAACCCCGGACACATCCGCCGTCCCGAACCAAATGGCAGCAGCTCAAATTGATGTCCCCGGAAATCAATCTCCCCTCCTCCCATAAACCTCTCCGGAGCAAAGCAATCCGCATTCTTCCAAACCCGCTCGTCTCGCCCGATCGCCCACACGTTAACAAGCACCTGACTGTTCTTCGGCACCATGTATCCGTTTATCTCCGTCCTCTCCTCTGCTTTGTGAGGCAGTAAAAATGGTGCCGGCGGATGAAGCCGGAATGTCTCCTTCAGCACCGCTTGGAGAAATGGTAGACTTGACATGTCTGACTCTTCAACTTCTCTCGCCAACCCGACGACTGTCAAAATCTCGTTCCGAGACCTTCTCATCAGATCAGGCCTGCGAAGCAATTCCACCAATGCCCACTCCATTGCAGTAGTTGTAGTCTCGGTTCCACCGACGAAAGAATCCTTATCATATAAAGAAAATTAAGAAATTAAGAGGTGTTTGGTAGCAGCCGCAGATTTAAGTTAAATAAAATTTATCAAATCCTCTAAGTCTTGATTCTCATGATGGAGATGCTCTTGTAATCCGCCTCACAGACGAATTTAAAAAATCTGGACTTATGTAAAGGAGGAGAAAGAGATTTAAGGTTGATTTAAGATTTAGTCTTTCATTTTTGTATGTTTGGCTGGGTTTAGATTAAATTTATGACTAAATTCTATTAAAAAAGTGCTAACAAGCACGTTCGAATGGATGCAAACACAGGGTAATTGATTACCATCAGTAAGGAATTTATGGTTTTCCTGCTAAGCTTGGAGCTGTCTTCTCGATTTTGTTGAAGAATGGCATCCAAAAAGTCCTGTTTTGTTCTTCTTCCTTCTCCTTCAATTGCCCCCAATCGATTTTCTATCATTTGATCGAAAAAATCATGCAACTTCTTATAGTATGAAGTAAAACGGCGCCTCCGACCTTGGAGATCCATTGGAGCCAAAAAAGGGAAGAAGTCAGAGAGGTTCGGTTTGCCCGCCTCCTCCATCAGCGATGAAAGCAAATCTTTTAACTCCTGAGCTGAATCCGATTTGAAATCGACCATATCAGTGGAGAAAATGGTGTTCGATATCAGATTGAGCACGACGCAGAACACTGCCCGACCAATGTGCACGGCCTCCCCATGCTTCCCCTTGATATATGCGACGAGTTCCTGAACCTTTCGCTGGCGAAGCTGTTGGCTTGCTTCGAGAGACTGCGCGTTGAAGAGATGGGTCTTTGTAAGAGTGCGGAGTACCGCCATGATTCGTTTCGAGAGGACCAGACCCAGGAGGTCTCGTGGTGGTCGAAGGCTCGGACGACATCAGGGACTTGTCGGCCGGACAAGGACTTCTCTTTTGTTTTAAGGGCTTCTTTTGCTGAGCTTGGCGAGGAGATGACGACTGTTTGGATGCTGCCGAGCTTGAGATACATGACTGGTCCATAGATTTGGGCAAGACGGGCCAAGGAGCGGGGGGGATTTTGGCCGAGCTGGAGCAGGTTGCCCAATACCGGGAGGGGTCTTGGGCCTGGAGGAAAAGGGGAGTGCTTGGAGGTTCTGCGTCTCAGGAAGAGTATGGCTATGGCCGCGAAGAAGAATGACCACGGAAGATAATGGGTTATCACTTCCATGATCATGTTTGCAGATGAAGTTTTAAGGCTGAGTCCCCTTTTATGGGCCGAATGACCCAACGGCCGCTGGTTAATTTTAATAAGGATTAGTTTTTAAAATAATACTTTTAATGTGTAGTATTAAAAAATGAAAAGTCAGAAAAAAAAAATTGCGGAAAATCGTATTAACATAAAACCATTTTTTTTAATTTTTATACTTTGGTTGTATTTGTATTAATTAGGTAAATAATATTTATTTAAATAGGTTTTATTAGTATTATTTAATTTAACATACAACATAAATATATAGATATATATATATATATAAAAAATAAAAAAATATAATGTAGATAGATCTAAATTGATTTAAGGAAAAAAAAAGAAAAAAAAAACTGTAATTAAAATATAGCAATGACATCCTAAACCATAATTAAGGTATTGTTAAAAAATAAATAAAAATCTAAATAAAATAAATTCTAGACTCTACACTTCCTATATTCGCATCGGCTCAAGTTCACCGTCCCTACAATATTTTCTCCACCTCCACCACTTCCCGGAAATTTTGCTCAGTTTCCTATTTGCAAATGTTTTCAAACATAACATTAAAACTAATTGTGTATCAAGAATGCACCGACATGGATCTCAACGACATTCAACAATCAAGAAGATTGAAAGTGTGTGAGCCCACTGACAAGAGACCAAAAGACTCACTTAATGCAACCCTCTGAATCAGGTGACATGTTTGAAAATATGCAACTTTTTTTTATATACGTTTAATGACTATTTTTAGTAATATTGTACTTTAACGGAATGTATTTTAATATTTTTAATGACATGTACAATATATTAAGCAATTGAAGCAAAGATGGAGTAAATTTGGAGTCAAATGGAGTCAAATGGAGCAAAGAAGAAAATTTTGACCCAGTGCCGAGGCGCCAGGGTCTGACACCTAGCGCCAGGGAGTTACTTCATGCTTCCAGAAGCTAGAGCCTAGGCATCACAATTGGGCACTTAGGCGCTAGAAACCGACTTGACGATTTTTTTTAAAGTTTTTCGGACAAATTTTGGAGAGTTTGTGTCTACTCGAGTGAAGAGGAAGCAGAGGACGTCATGGGTGAAAATTTCAAAGGCTTGGAGTGCATGAGAATTGAAAAGGTGAGAGGTTTCTTTCATTTTCTGCATTTCAGAGTGATCTTTGAGTGAAATCGTAATTAGAGTTTGAGAATTCTTCAAAGAAACTCTAGAAGATTTGCTTGGGGAGGAGTTTGAGATAAGTGATTTGTATTTTTGTTTTTTGTTAAATTTTATTTTATAAACCTGATTTTAAACATCAATCCATGTGTTGTTGCATTTTTCCCATAAAATCTATGTAGTTTTCTTTATCTTTATCCTTGTTATGAAAAATAATCATATGTAGGATTAGGATTGTTCAGAATTTCTTTTATTTCATAATTGTGATGGTATAATACTTAATGCTTAATTTACTTATGTAATTTGGCCAATTCATAAGTTAAAACATATAGTGAAGACGTAAGACCCGGGAGGGCTATGCATCTCCTCAATTAGTAATTACCACGCTAACTTTTAAGATGAAGAAAAAGTAATTTTGGGATGAGTGCAAATAGATAAGGAAAAAAGCTTTAACTGGTGTAAATTGATGATTTTAGAGCCTTAATCAATTTGATCTAGAGTTTTGAACTTAAAGCTAGGTTAGCCCAATTAAGGGCTTACGTGGGTACTCTAGGGTGGCATGCTAGAATCTACCCAGCATAACCAAGGATTTAGAAACTTAACTTTAGGTTAGCCAATGTTCTTTATGCATTCGGAAGAGGGTAAAGAATAGGTATTACGGAGTTATTTAGTTCTCAGGCCAAAAACTTGACCCTGTTTTTATAGGCGGCTAGCATGCAAAATATATATGATATAGAATTTAGAATTGATTTATATTTCACACACTTGGTCCGACAACCACTGCCTCTTGATGTCGCCGCCGCCATTTCCAGTTGAAACAACCTCTAGCCAACTCTGGCTGCCGCAGATTGATGCAGCCCTCGCCAGCTTCGACCGCCGCTGCCGTCTTCAAATAAATCCCACCGCCGCCACCTTCAGCCAACTTCTACTGCCTCCCATCGGCCATCATCGACCACCAACTGCCGTAACCCACTCTCTACCACAGGGCAACAAGTTCCTCTGTGCACGGATATTGTAATCTTAGAAGCTGTGTAACAATTTTCTGTTTGTGGGGCACGAGATTGTACTTGTAATCACCAACTCGTAGTGAAATATTTCAAATGGGCAATGTCTCATAATTTTTTTTTCTTTTCGAATTTTTCATGTAAAAACTTATGGTATCTCTATTGATTATCTTATTTCATTTGAGTGGGTGTTGGATTCCCATACAACGCTAATGCAATAATTCACTACTCTATCACCGCAAATCTTCTACACATCAATATTGATCACTTTTAAATTTTTAATACTCCCATTAAAAGATTAATAAATTATACAAAGATATATGAATGTGAATAAAATAGTTGTGTGTGCATTCTTTTTTTTTTATAAATACAAGTGCCATCATAGAATTATGCTAAGATACTAAGTCTCTAAATATGACATTTATATAGTATTTTTATTAACCACCCGCTATTACAAACTGCATAAATGAATCAGTTTTATAGTATAATATTACTCTCAAATTAAACATAACATTAAATAAACACTTTAATCCTCTCTTCAAGTTGATTTATTATTTTTGGCTTTTAGTGAAGAGCAGAGCCATGAATCTTTTGACAGAATTATGCTCTTAAGAAATAAAAAAAATTACATCATGATGCAAAACTATATAAAAACTTCAATCACAACAGGTCACATGCATTGTTTGGCTCTACTGAATACAAAAAACTAAATAGTTTAATGTGTGGCGGGACCAGACCTTACGTGACATATTGTGATTGGAGTTCTGCATCAATACTCTTAATATAATATTTTTTTTTTAAGAAGATAAAAAAAAAATATAGAATATTTTATTTATTTAGAATGAAGCCTTATTTTCAACAAATTATATTCGAATGAGAAATTGGATGTGCTCAAGATTGCTTGGTTTAGATATCGATAAGGTTTTAAAATATCTGATTGTAGCTTTTGATAAAGTGCTTTGATTGTTTGGGCTATAAATGAATCACTTTCACACAATAGGCTGTAAAATTTATTGTAGACGGCCATCCTTGGCATCAATGTCAATGCATATTGTTACTACCAAATTAGATCCTCACTGGCATATTGGAGGCGGCATTCGTCATTTACATAAACTAAAACAAAATATTAAGTTTTAATTAAGAATATCAACATAAATATAATTGGATTTTAAATAAAAAAATAATTAATTAGTGAATAGTTTGATGAAATTTAAACTAAAGCACACAAGGAAGAAAAAACTTACAAAATAAAAGAGGGAGAAATTTGGGGAGAGATGGAATGTTTGATGTAATTGATCTTTTTTAGTGATAAAAGGGGCTTACTAGATCTTTCAATCTACAAAGAAGATTTATGTACGAGACCTTAAAGAGGTAAGTGAGCGGAAAAAATTATTCAACGTCAATGCTCATCATTGCTATCATCGTTGATGCCCATCATCGATACTTACATTGATGTTTATTATCGCCAAAAAATTACTCAGTTGTGTCATGTAAGAAAATGAGCAGGCTAACAATAAATAGTTTATAGTTTGCAAATCCAGAGCCTCACTGCTGCTACTTATACTTGAGGAGTCAAATCAGGTTTGTAAGTAGGATTGAGTTTGACTCGAAATTAACCTTACCCGAAATAGCTTGACTCATACCTAACCTGATTATTTAATAGTTTGGAGAGTCTAACTTGAACCCAACTCGCCTTCAACTCACAAGCCTGAATCCGACCCATATAACTCATTTAACACAATGCATAACAGTTTTGGGTCAACATTGGATTTATTTCAAGTCAATCTCAGGTCATTTTGTTGATTGGTCGACTTCAGGTTAGTGAGCCCATTTAAAGTCAATTTTAGGTTGGCGGGTGTGTCAATCCAAACTAGACTTGAAAAGTTAAACGGTTTAAGATTCATAACCCAAACCTGAATAAAAATTTATTTGTGACAATCCGAAGCCGAATTCTTTTAGTTGAGTTTAGATCGAGTTGTTGTGTCCTGTTATTATGTGATGTCTGATTGTGTTAAACGATTATTCACTCATAGCACTCAATTTTGCCAATCAAAGCCCTCAATTTATGTTAAACGACTATTATAACTATGATTTTTTTCTCTTCCTCGAGTTTTTCTATATTAAAACTAATGTTTTCTTCTTTGTAGGCTTCCGTTCAAAATCTTGCTTCAGATCTCTCAAATCAATTTTCGTAATTTTAATCTTTTAACATCTAGGGTCAATTTTTGACAACCCTAACCGCTACAATGAAAATCATCTTTCACTATTCATATGAATTACATTGTATTAACATCTTCTTTCATCATCGGTAATCAAATCATGTGAAATGAATCACTCCTAATATGAAATTATTTCACATAAATTTGGCCTTGTGGTTTTCCTCTTTTAGAAATCTCGGCATAAAAAATCTCATCTCTCATAAATTGCTCTCATCTTCTTATGAGTACGTGAGATTTTCTTATAAGAAAACTATAAATTATTTCTTCCTTCATCAACATAAATACTCCAACATTAAACAAATGTTAATATTAAAATAAAGATGTTTCATTTTATTTTCCGACATAAATAATGTTGGTATTATTTACCAATATAAATGTATGACTTAAAAAAAATAAGTAAATATGTTTCCACAATGCAAGTTGTAAAAGTAAATATATTATAAAACTATGTCAATAAAAAATGCATTATTGACGAGTTACATTTAGAACAAAGAAAATATACTTAAAAATAAAGAAACATATACAATAAAAAATTTAGGAAGTTTTAAGAAATTAAATGCATACTCTCAGTAAAGGATGATCATGTATAGGGCTGTCAAAACGGCTC